GTAGATACATAAGCATAAATCACTCCTCAGGTCATAATACCCAAAACAATTTATATGTATAATGATATATTGCATAAATCACTTCTTTATCCCCACATGATCCTCTTCAGTTGTCAGTCAGAGGCCTAAAGAGAGCCTCATTTTCATTCGTAATTAAACATTTGTTTTTTGCAAGCCTGTGTAAGTGTTTCAAAATCATTCATGTTGTCAAATCTTTACCAGTTCCCACAGTGGTCTTTCTTAATTAAGTTACTGTCACTCTTAATAGAGGAGAAGCAGTATTGATGTATCTTTCCCTCACATTTCTCTCTGCCATCATATTTCTTTCCTCAAAACTTTGTGAGGCAGAATTTTATATCTAGATAAGCAGTTTTCTTTACGACATTAAACCACTTTGGCACAGCATTGTGAAACTAAGAAGATGAAGGACTACCAAAAGTTGATTACAGAGTAGGGATGAGTCAGGATGGTTGACTAGTCGCCCATAAACCAATTACTGAATTATTAAGTTTGACAAGGTTTAGATTTTATTTTATTTGGCTTCTTCTCAGAGAAGATTTTAGCATGGTTTTAGCATTGCAAACGTCTTGCCTCAGGAAATTGTTCTTTAAATTAATCTTTATTAAAGCACTGCATCAAAACACTGCTTCTGTTAACACGTCCACCAATAAATGTCAAGACAATTACTATCGGGCTTCAGATCGCCTTATTTGACCAATGTTCCATTATTTAGCAGACTCCCAAGGTCACCGTTTTTGTGTTGACTGTGGTATTTTTGTGGAATTAAAGGTTATAGATATTTAGCCTAATTATTTGTTGAATATCTGACATGTTCAGCACCATTTACCATGGGCTGTGCAGTCTCTGCTGTTTGTTAAATGTCTGTGTATATGCAGATAGAAATTTTAGGCTGTTGCTTCATGTTTTGCACCGCGAATGTTGTGTTTTTGATGTGGCATGTCAAGTTAAAAATAGTTTTGCTTTTAGAAACCCGTATTGACACCTGAGTTCTGTTTCATTCTGTTACACTCCCTCAGGCTGTTTCTGAAAGCAAGAACCAAGGGCTAGAGATTTGGCTGGTTAGCATGACCCCGTTAGACCCTGCTGCTAGTTGTCATAGACCATCTGGTTCTTTAAAACATCTTTTACCATTAATAGCCATTCGAAATCAGCCTTTAATTCTGATGAAATAGTAGATTTCATAAAATGAAAATTAAATGCAGAAGGTATAAAACAGACCATAAATTCAAAGTTAGGTACCTCACAAACTCATCAACTATCAGAGCAGAAATCATTGGGTTTTACTAGAGTTTAGCCGTCTGTTTCAGGAAGATAGGCAGTAATTTCCAATTTCTCTGCTCAATTATGGGTTGTTTATGGATCAGGTGCCATCGCTGTGTGAGAGTGACAGATAGATTCAGCAGGTCCGTCTTCCACACCTGCACAATAATTTGATGGCGAAACTACTGTTTGTATTAGTCTGCAAAACCTGTATGTTGCTGTGTTAGATATTAATGAAATGTTACTCAGCATTTGGACCATTTATGAGATGTCAGGTAAAAAAACAGCACCCATTTAATTCCCCCTGGTGTTAAGACAGATTGTGAAAATTGCTCGCAAGGTGTGGGAAAAATGGAAATGGAAATAGACATTTCCCACTAAACTTCCAAGACGGAGAGAACAAATCAGACTGCTCATACTGCTCAGATGCTGTCAGCTTGTGGATTCATTTAGACGTGAGAAGGGTAAAGACCTACTGGGTGCAGGTATTGTTTGGAGGAGCAGCTGTTTTCAGATCGATTGAGCAATGAGAGGCCTCAAGGCTGAAAGTTTGCCTTCACATAGAAGGTGTTTGTTTGTTTGCTTGTTTGTTTGCTATTCACCTGGCATCACCTGGATTTACTGGTAAATAAAAGATAAGCCTGCCCCTGTTCTCTCTTCTTATCTTAGCTCCCATATGTACACAGCACAACCATGGGACCCCCTTGGTCCATTTCTATTTTTTGAAGCCTTATTCTTTTGTTTCAGCAGAGCAGAACTTCGAGACCAAATGATTGGCGTGTTTTAATCTTTTTCCTTTAAATTTATCCGGTTTGGCATCACCGCATGGAGTCGTCAGTGTGTGCGCTAATTCATGTGCTTTAAGTAGCAGTGAAAGTCACAGGGACGCGTGTCAGAGCCGCTGGCGGTAATGTTATTCTAGTCACACAGGTTTTAACTTTGCGTGGGGACTCCTCTTCAGCGCCGCAGCCCCGTGCTGCTCACTCGCAGGCAGCACCCCACTAGGTTCAAACAGTCGCTCTCCCCCTCAGAACACCCAAGCATTCGATTTTTCACTGTCACAGCACGTTCATGCACGCCTCCCTGTCAGTCCACATCAAAAACAGCAGAGTGTCTGTGTAAAGATGGCCAGGAGCATTTTCAGATGATAGCTGACGGCTCTTCCTCACTGTTTTAGTGTCTGGTTTTTATTCAAGTGATTCAAATGTTTCCAAGATTGCATCAAAACAAGAGTTGTGTTCAGTGTTCTTGAGTATGAGGTCATCATAAGTTCAGAGTAAGTAATATATTCCTCTATTTGCCTATAAGGCAGCTTTGGGAGATGGAAGTCACGGGAGATCTAACACTCTCCCAAGACTTCCCTCTTACTTATTCAAACGTATAGTCGTTAGGGAATACAATATGCATTTGCATCCTGAAGATATCTGTATTTTATCGTGAGGTTTGTTTTTTGTTTTGATGAGTCAGTGTGAAAACCTAACTAGGGTTACATTATCTAATTGCGATTTTATTTCTTTTTAATACAAATTGTGATTGCAGTGTGTGTGTGTGTCTACAGGTTTGGTGCACTTGTGTTTTTTCTTACTTATAAAAGTTGTATTTGCGATTCAAAATGCTCTAGGCTTGTTTGTAGGGGTGTATTATTTGGCCAAACATTTGTATCAATATGACTATAATAATAATAATAATATTGTTGTTGTTGTTGTTGTTTATTGATTATTATTATTATTACTAAATTAATATATTAAACAAAATGAGAAATATTACTATTGTAAGATTTCTCTTTAAAATAAAATATGAGTATTAAAAATATTATAAACATATTTTACAGTGCAACTTTATTACAATTAAAATACAATTTAAAATATTTCTGACTGTTTAATTTCTTAAATTTCAAATGTTTTCAAACCATTGAATAGGCAGAGTCTAAAGAAGGGGTGCAAAACTAATTTCCTGAATGGCCACATCCCTGCAGAGTTTAGATCCAATCCTGCTCCAACACACACATGTAGTTTTCAAATAAGCCTGATTAGCTGCATCAGGTGTGTTTATAGGGTTGAAGTTAAACTCTGAAGGGCTGTGGCCTTCAAGGGGTGCTTCTCAATTCTTATTTGTGCATCCTTGCTTCCTTTCCTGGCGTCTTAGCTCCACCCCTTGAGGATGCGAGGGAAGGACGCAAGGAAAAGACGCGAGGTTGGAGGAATTGAATCAAGTGAAATTATATATCTTCGCTCCCTTTAGTGTAAATTCAAAGCGTCATCAGCTGCGCTAAAGGGATCTTCCCTTATGTTGTTAAAGTTTGTTATTTAAGACATTCATAAGAAATATTAATAAAGCAAGATGCCCTGTTTGAAATATATGACATGTATGGTTTATTTGAACTGCAAAGGTAAAAATATAAATGTAAATTATTACAACAGATATGAAGGGAAGAATAATTTATACGTGCGTTAGGTTTTCCGATAAAAAACACTTTGGCAAAAGATACACCTGTGTATCCTCGCTCATAGCTCCTCTGGAAGCCTCCTCACTCCTCGATTCTCACCTCCTCGCGGTGCAATTAGAGAATTGAGATGTCCTTCAAGATGGCTGAGCTCGATCGGTTTCCGGGTCATAGGATGGAGGACGGAGGAACGAGGAAACAAGGAGGGATATTGAGAAGCACCCCAGGAGTTTTGCAAACCTGCCTTAAAGGGATAGTTCCCCCAAAAATGAAAATTCTGTCATTAATTACTCACCCTCATGTCGTTCCAAACCCATAAGACCTTCGTTCATCTTCGGAACACAAATTAAGATATTTTGATGAAATGTGAGAGCTCTCAGACCCTGCATAGACAGCAATGCAACTGTAATGTTCCCAGGTCCAGAAACGTAGTAAGGACATTGGTAAAACAGACCATGTGACATCAGTGGCTCAACTTCAGTTTTGCGAAGCTACGAGAATACTTTTTGAGCGCAAAGAAAACAAAAATAACATAATTTATTCAACAATTCTTCTCCCCCGAGTTACGACTTCCACCATTTTAGAGTATCAACACATACGCACGCTTTCCCCTAAGCATAAACAACGCTGATTATGCAGATTACGTTCATGCGCGTGCTTTCTCCTCCGAACGTAAACAACGCTGATTACGTCGATTACACTCTTGGGTACTCTCCAAAATGACGGAAGACGTAACTCGGGGGAGAAGAATTGTTAAATAAATTGTTATTTTTGTTTTCTTTGCGCTCAAAAAATATTCTCGTAGTTTCGCAAAGCTGAAGTTGAGCCACTGATGTCACATGGACTGTTTTACCGATGTCCTTACTACGTTTCTGGACCTGGGAACATTACAGTTGCGTTGCTGTCTATTCAGGGTGTGAGAGTTCTCACATTTCATCAAAAATATCTTAATTTGTGTTCCGAAGATGAACAAAGGTCTTACGGGTTTGGAACAACATGAGGGTGAGTAATTAATGACCGAATTTTCATTTTGGGGTGAACTAACCCTTTAAGGCAGGTTTGCAAAACTCCTGGGGTGCTTCTCAATATCCCTCCTTGTTTCCTTATTCCTCTGTCCTCCATCCTATGGAGGACGGAGGAATGAGGAAACAAGGAGGGATACTGAGAAAGGGATACTCCACTTTTTTCTATTTGATAATAGCCATGTCACGGTTTTGGTTTTATTTCGCTTAATCGTGCAGCCCTAGACCTAACTGTATATGTTTTCTGCTTTCAGAACCGCTTCCATTTACAGATGATGACACATACGCCCCCTTCAGGACTATCGGAGCTGCTGTTGGCAGTGTTGCTAAAGGGAGGCTGGCAGGGTGGAGCGGCCATTCTTTGTCTGGGAGGTGGGAACACGGAAATGCTGGAAGAGCTTGAAGAGCGCGGCCATCTGGGCTTGAATGGAGCCCACTGGCACCTGTGGGAGACCCTAAACCTGTCCAGACTGGAGGAAAACTTGAGCGAGGACAAGGTGATGGAGCTCCTCTCGCAGCTCCTCGGCAGGACTCCTTCTGCTCCGGCGTCTTCTGTGGTGCTTTTCGGCTCCGACCCTGAATGTACAGCCAGAGTGCTGCACAGCGCCCACCAGTTGAGCATTGCGTTGCCCCCCGTGCATTGGATCATGGGATATCCACTTAGTCTGGATTCTCTACACTCCATTGGCTCTCCCCTGGGTCTTCTGGCTTATGGGGAAGTGAATCGCAAACCTCTGAACTTCTACATTAGAGATACCCTGCAGCTCATTGGCAGGGCTGTATATGCTGCGACCATGGTGAGACCAGACCTGGCTCTCATCCAGAACATGGTGAACTGCTTCGACAAGCCCAATAAACATGAGTTGCCCTCCTCTGGACAATACCTTGCCAGGTAAGCATACAAGTATAACAGTTTACAGCTAAGTCGCTTATTACGTAGCAATGCTATTATTTAGCTACATTTTATAACAGTACCACAATTCACAAACAGAGTACAATTTCAAGTAACAAGCCATTTTAGTTATAATAGGGCCTTTCGCACCGCAGGAACCTTTTCATAGTACCAGAACTAATTGTGGAACTACCCACTTTTCGGCGTGTTCGCACCGCCGGAACTGGGAGCGATTTTAGTACCGGACTGCCTTTTTCGAGAACCAAATTAGCTCCTACCATAAGCAACAGTGATGTAGCATTTAGTAATGCTACATCAATTTTGTTTATGTCACATTATAACTAATAGGCTACATTGTGCACAGGTACCCCCAACTTACCATGGTTCACATTTCTGATTAGTGTGCGATTTTCATGTGACACGTGTGCGGGTTATATATAATCCCATGACCTTCAAGCCTAGTTATTCACAATAAAGCTGGATATTGTGTCAGAATAGGACATTAGCAAAGAAAATAACTATGTATTGTTTATTTATTAAAGTTTATTCCACTTAAAGTGTCAAATGTCATAGTTTACAGAAATATGTGCAGTCTACGCAGACTGAAAATTAAAGCACACATATTGCACAGGTACCCCCCATTTATCATGTTTCACATTTCTGATTAGTGTGTCATTTTTTGACAAGCGTTTGGCTTATGTGAACCCATTGCATTCAAGTCCAGTTATTCACAATAAAGCTGGAGACTGTATCACAATAGGACATTAGCGAAAGAAACATCTATGCATGGTCTTGTTTATTAAAATGTATATGTCTTATGCCAGTAAGTCAAATGCCATAGGTTACATTATTCAAATTGAAAATTAAAACACACATTTTTCACCCCATTTACCATCTTTCACATTTCTGATTAATGTGGAATTTGCATGTGATGTGTGGCTTATGGAACCCTGGCCTTCAAACTCAATTATCTACAGGGGATCTGGAGATTGAATTAGCCATTAGTGAAGGAAATAACTGTGCAGTCTTCTGTACTAAAATGTAATGTATGTGTCTCAGAGTCAAATATCATAGGTCACACTATTGTGTGCAAACCAAAAATTAAAGCACTGTGTCATGACACATCAATTTAAGGATGCAGTGAGCAGACATATAATGCCGATTTCTGATGCAAAATGTCACTGCTAATGGTTTACATTTGATACAGAGCTCTTTTTTATTTATAACATATTCATAACATTATTAAACATTTTTTTTTCACGTTAAGGATTTTGATATACAGTATATAATTGGATTTTTTATTTAAATAGTAAATTATTCAAATTATTTTCAGTTTTTTTTTTAGTATTCTTACTAACTATTTGATTAAGTGTTGCTTTATCGTGGCTTAACTGCTGTAGATTATGTGTATCTTGTTGCTTATCCAGCTACAGTTTTAAATGAACTTCTCCAACACTGTCAATATTTTTGAATGTTATCTTATCTCGTAATCAAGAATTACTTAGTTATCTGATCACACAGTGCAGTCAGTTCAAGCTTTAAATTCACCTTTAGTCATTAATGTGTGCAGACATATTAAGCATGCTTTACATTAAAGGAATTATAAGGTAGTAAATACTCTCCAAGGAAAATGGCTATATTAGTATTCCAGCCTCTAGTATTAAGTAACAGGAATATTCTGTCTCGGCCACAGTATGGCCATATATCTTAAAGTTATTTTCCTGATGGAGCCACCGGAGATTTTAAAATGCAATTAACTGACTCAGGGGTGTTTTCCATACATTTATACATCCTTAATCAAAACCATATCCTTGTGTGCATTTGCATAAACCGTCAAGTTAACAGTTACACGATGCATTCGCATCTATGTGGAAGCCATTCGTGACACTTCTGTGTCCTCTTCACTGACTGAACTCCATAAACAGGACAAAAAGCTTTCTGCATTTAGGTCGCCAGGCTCTTCCTTCATCTTCAATGCCAGGGTTCGGGTAATTTTCAAGAGCTCACAGAGCCTGCTGTACACTGCCTCTCAGCTTGATGCATTGTGTTAGTGGAAGAGGCTGTGGGAGGACTAAATATTTACAATTTCTCATTCAAGATAAAAACAAAGAAGGAATTTTTATTATTAAATTGATTTGGTAGTATTTTCACAAATAAATGGCACACTTTCTTAATGAAAAATTAAATGGAATCATTGATTCATGCTGCTTTTATTATTGTAAAAAATATTTTCTGTAGCAGCTCTACAGAAGACAGTAGTGTCATTATTCAGCTCAGTTCAGTTCAAGTTCTCTTCTCATCCAGTGCATGCCATTTTAGTCAGTGCAGTCAAAATCAGTATACATATATTTTATATATACTTAGTGATAAAAAGGGTTCAAAATCTATTTGCATAGCAAACAGTTCCACTGTCGATTTAAAATATATTTAAATATTAAAAAAAAAAAAAAGCTTTTTTGATGTTTGGAAGTTAGTACTAAGAATTAGAGTTTTGATAAGGTGTATATAACTGGAAAACAAAGAGTTTTCTTGTATTGTTTTCTTGGATTGTTGTGATCAAGTCCCTGTGCACACGATTGGAGAACTCTTATCAACTCTTATACTTACCTATCTGCTCACTTCCACAAATTAGATTTTTTTTTCATGGTAAAAAAAGAGCAAAGCACCTTCAGATGTAAGATTAAAGTTCCGCTGTTATATGAGTCTTGCTCAGATAAGTAAACTTTTAAAAAATGTGTGGCAGTGGACCCCTGAGATTTTCCACTGGATTGAAAGCAGTGATGTAATCTTTAATATTCACCTCACAGTGTAAGACCACCCCCCCCCCCCCCCCCCCCCCCCACCCCATATTAAGAAATGTATTTGCTTTGAGAAATGAATGTAGCACTCGAGCAGTAGGTCTAAACACATTCCATGTGAGAATCTGAAAACAACACGACACACACAGGGATTATTGTTCCTCTGCTGTGCTAATGCTTTCTGAACATTTAATAATAGTCACACGGAAAGAAATCAGAAATCAGCTTTGTTGTAATTGCTAACACATTATCTCCTGTCTTTTAACTTCTGCTTTCACACCAGATCAAGTGTTCTCAACGGGTCAAACTCAGGGCTATCAGGAGAAATGAATGATCCAGGCAATCAATTTTTTCTGCTTTTATTTTCTCTGTTCTGCTCTGTTTTAATGGAAGTGTGCAGTTATGGTCACACAGAGTGCATATCATTTACGGCCTCATTTAGCCACACATCACAAGCCTCTTTCACTTGAGATTTTTCATCTTCCCTCTGTGACCCAGACATTGCCCAGCAGCCCTTTGACTACTCTACATCCCCAGCTGATTTATTGACAAAAATCGATCATTGAACTAATCCATGGCATACATTCTGCCATAAAAGCAGTGTGGCTATAGGCTGTGTAAGGAATCACAATTATGTGATCAGAACAGCACAAGAGTATAATATCCGGAGCGGCATAGAGGGTTATTTACCTATAAACCTGCTCTATTTATGCTCTATTTATTAATTTGTTTCTTTACTACTCTCTGATGGATGTTAACAGAACTGATATGGTGGCAGCTCAGCAGTTAAACACAAGGGCTGTCAAAGGTCTTATATTGGTTCAAAAGATTTAGTGTGATTCAGGTTACTCAGGTCATAATCCTGCCCTTCTGTCCATATGCCTTTGAAGAAAGCCTTGAACTTCAGTGTGCTTCAAGAGTGATTTATATCTTCTTCTGTTCTTATTCTTTTCTCCTGCTTTGAATATATACATAGCTGGTGCTCTTGAATAAGAAATAATAATTTAAATCTTAGCAAACACACCATGGACAAAATTTTTATTTCCGAGGGCACTAAGTGACAGTTGTGGCACTTCTTTCTATGACAGTGAGACAAGATCGTCTCGAGGTGTAATTTTCATTTAGTATGCAACGGGACCTGGGTTCAAATACTTATTTATAATCCTATATAATATATATATATATTCAAATATAATTTATATTATGTATAAATATTAATATTTTATACATAAACAAAACATATTTTCTTAAATATATACATGCATGTGTGTGTATGTATATATACATAATAATATATATTTTGTGTAAAATATATATATACATACACATATATTTTGTAAACAAAAACTTTTATTTTGCATGCGATTAATCGCGATTAATCGTTTGACAGCACTAATATGACAGAGTGATCATCAAGCATTTTCAGTCTATGAACATTTTCAAATGGGAATAATGCCTTTTCTACCCAAACATAAAATATGCTAATAACAAATATTATTATATTTTTAAACATTATTTAAAATTTTCTTACATTTTCACTATAATAATTACAACAATGCCCGTTTAAAAGTTATATGTATTTACGGTTATATATATATATATTTTTTTTTTAATGAAGCAAGATCATTCTTTATTAATGGCCATATTGTTGCTTCATGGATTTAGTGTTCCACATATTCTGTCACTCATACAGTGATGGATTTAAATCATCAGTTACACAAAAAATGGTAAACTGCACCTTACGTCTGCATTTGTAAGCACGTGTTGTGAATCAGAGGCTGTTCTCTGTGGTCATTCAACAAAACGTGCCATGCCTGTGAGATGCAGATTCCCCGAGCGCTGAGTGCAAACCCGTGCTGCTTAAGCATGCGATCGACAGAGCAAATAACATTTTCACACAAGGCTGACATTTTTAACTCTTAGTTGGTCTTGTTTTGATGTAATTTATGTAAAAGTTTTGTAAAACACCCACAAAAACTCATGGGTTCTGAATGAATCACCTATAAATGCCTGAAATATTAAATAATAGTCAGGATTTTTTTTTTTAATGGAACAATATATTGAAACTTTAGACAAAATCTAAAAAAAATTTTGGATATGTGCTTTTTGTTGTTGTTGTTGTGTATCATATTTGATCAGGCTTTATGACTCATATAGTATGATATTTAGGAGAATATGGAAGTCATACTCCATAATCCTCAGTTTTATTCAGAGGCCCAAACTGTTCAAAAAGATGCAATTTGGTGCAGTTGCTGTTATTTATATGGACAAAAAGTAAGATAAATTCTGACAGCTTGTAAGTTAAATCAATTAGATTTTCATAACATTATAGCAGACTACTTACAAAAAAAAGGCATATAAATATCAGTTGTCAGTCTATGTCTCCCAATAATATGTCTTTGTAAGATATTTAAATTCTTAGTTTTATGATCAAATCTCTGCAGTTTTTATTGTGGTGGGAAAAACATATAATGATAGTCCAATACAATGAGGATTGAGAGATGTACAAATAAATGCTCCTCAAAAGCCTATTGTGTTATATTTGATACAGTATCAGCAACACTGGAATTACTGTACTTAATCCATATAGACCAATTAAAATAAATCATTAATAATATTAACAGTATATGAACTTAAAATAACTAAAATTGCTTTTTATTTTCACTGCTTGCTCTATTTCCTATCTAGTATCACTTTTGTACACTACTTTTATTCCTTTCACTTGTTTTCACTAGTTACCTCCCTTGGCTCTTGTGTAGGATTCAGTTCGAGATTCAGCAGAATTTTTTGCTCTGTCATCTCATCACTGTCTTTGCTTTTGCTGGATGCATATATATTCCCCTCACAATGCTCATGTCCCTGCTGTGCTCAGGTTCTTGTCGAACACTTCTTTCATGGGGCTGACAGGCCCGGTGCGAGTGCAGCGCTCCCTCTCCAGGGTCCTTACCTCCCAGCGCTTCCACATATGGAGTCTACAGCGAGACCCTCTGGGCCAGCCAAGTTGGGTGACCATGGCAAGCTGGCAGTCAGGCCGTCTGGAATTGGAAGAACAGGGCCTGTGGCCAGGCATGGCCCAACACCACCGGGAGGACGGCCCAGAGATCAGGCCCAGCGGCCGCTGGCAAGCAGGACTCCCAGTGGTGGGGAGCAGATTGCGGGTCGTGACATTGGTCGAGCATCCATTTGTGTTCACACGGGAGGTGGATGAGGAGGGCCAATGTCCGGCCGGTCAACTGTGCCTTGACCCTCAAACCAACAGCTCAGAAGTCCTCAACCAGCTGTTCAGAGAGCTGGAGCAAACCAACAGCAGTTCATTGCCAAATGACATGCGGAAATGCTGCTATGGATACTGCATCGACCTGCTGGAGAAGTTAGGTGAGGACATGCACTTCCAGTTTGACCTTTACATCGTAGGCGATGGAAAGTACGGGGCATGGAAAGGAGGAAGATGGACTGGGTTGGTGGGCGACCTGCTCAGTGGCAGGGCGGATATGGCCGTCACCAGCTTTAGCATCAACTCTGCTCGAAGCCGAGTGATAGACTTCACCAGCCCCTTTTTCTCCACCAGTCTGGGGATCTTGGTGCGCAGCAAGGACACGGCTGCACCCATCGGTGCCTTCATGTGGCCGCTTCACTGGTCCATGTGGGTGGGCATCTTTGTGGCACTGCATATCACTGCTCTTTTCATCACCCTTTACGAATGGAACAGTCCGTTTGGCATGACTCCGCACGGACGCAACCGCATCAGGGTCTTTTCTTATTCGTCTGCCCTGAACCTCTGCTACGCCATCCTGTTTGGCCGGACCGTTGCCAGTAAAACTCCGAAGTGCTGGACGGGCCGCTTCCTCATGAACCTTTGGGCCATATTTTGCCTGCTGGTTCTGTCCAGTTACACAGCCAACCTAGCAGCTGTCATGGTGGGGGAGAAGACCTTTGAGGAGGTGTCAGGGATTCATGATGTCAAGGTAAAACACTGCATTTCATCCTAAATTACTGAAGAGGTAAAATACACAAATATTTTTGTTCAGTGATTTATTTAAACTATTTGTATAAATTTAAACTAATATGCATCCTACTAAAAAAAGTTGTACATATGCACTGCTGTGCAAAAGTCTTAGGCCATTAGTATGTTTACCAACAACAACAAAAAAAAGGTTTCTTTTGCCTTTTAATTGTAATAATCCATTGGGATTTTTGTATCCATAAGAGTCTGACAACAGCCAGTGCTCCAAACAGATATCTGATCTAAGCATCATTCAGTCCGTCTGGGATGATATGACAAAAAAAAACTGAGACAAACTAAATCCAGAAGAACTGTGGCAACGTCTCCAAGATGCTTGAAGAAACCTTCCTGCAAAGCTACCTGAAAAACTATGCGCAAGTGTACCAAGGACAAAAGCTGTTTAAAACACAAAGGGTGGTCACACCAAATGTTGATTTGATTTAGTCAATAGAAGTTAATTGATAAATAAATTCCATTTGTGACATTATTTTTGAAAGCATCCTTACTTTGCAACGTTTTTACACAAGTGCCTAAAACTTTTCACAGTACTGTAGATTTGCAAGTAAAATTATACATTTATTTGAAAATACAGTAAAAAGAGTAATATTGTAATATTTTATTGCAACTATTTTGTTTTTCAATAAATTGTAAATTTTTTCAGGATTCTTTGATGAATAGAAAGTCCATAAGAACAGCATTTATTTGTAAGACATTTTTGGACAAAAGTCTTTATCGGCAGTTTTGATCAATTTAGTGCATCCTTGCTAAATAAAGTACTATTTTAATTTCTTCCAAAACAAAACAAAAACGGTTGCACTATGGTTTAGAAAACTATGGTAGTACCATGGAACTTTTCTGGTACATTTTTCTGCTGGGATTATGTTTTTAAAATTTTCTCACACAATCAATTCATGTTTCATTGCTCTTTTCAAGCTCCATCACCCGTCTCTGGGGTTTCGCTTCGGCACAGTTCGAGAGAGCAGTGCTGAGGACTATGTGAAAAAGAGCTTTCCTGAGATGCACGAGTACATGAGGCGCTTCAACAAGCCCACCACTCCGGATGGAGTCTCTACACTCAAGTAAGTGTTTAGACCCAGGAGAGAAACAAAAGATAACAGGCTCTTGAACATACCAGTGGTGGAAAGTCCAGTGAAAAGATAACGGTAAGAGAGAGAGAGGTAAATCTAATGATCAAACTGAATTTCTAAACAGCCTTTTTAGTTTGAATGAAAAACACTTGCAATAAAGTGTATTTAAAAAATATCTTCTTAAAAACTTGCACTCACATAGACACATTCACATTGTTTTAACTCAATAAAATCAAGTGGTGCTGAGCAGGAGCGCAACCAGTGGTCGAATTGTAAACAGATTTTTCAGTCTTTGGTGAATCATTGGCTCACTTGATTTGTTCAAAAGCAGATTCATTAAGGAACAAAACACCGCAGTGTTGCTCTACACTGTTGCATAAAATTAATAGCACATCTGTGATCGCGCACACATGCTGACATTCAGGAAAGCACTCTTGCTGGTGTGATAAATATCTCTCCGTCCCTCACAGTCACACATACAAAACATTATGTCAGGGGAATTTCTTTAAACTCTAATCAATAAAATATCATTCCTTCTGTTGTCTTTCTGAAGAACGTCAAAAGTTGTGCCTTTGAAACATTTTGCGCGGAAAATGATGAAAACTTGCACGCAGTTTGTTACAATATTGAGTTCTGATTGGCCAATCGCCATTATTTCGTTTGTAAATTATCATAATAAGGGAATGTTTATATTTAATTTGCATATGTTTGACATAATTTACATAATATACAACATTATTAATCTAATAGGAGATGGAATGGGGGGTGGTGGTTTTACTGAGGGGATGCTTTTTGTCATTTTTTTTAACAAGAGGGATGGCATCCCCCCTCAATTCGAGCCCTGAGCACAACATGAAGAAAACAAATAAAGCTTTAAAAGGAGATAGGCATCTTGAAAAAAGCCTGAAGAGAAATAGAGCTCGGTAATTGCATAGTGCTGCTGGAGACACAGACAACAAGCAGCCCAAAGCTTCAGGCGTATACTACAACAATAAATAGGGTCACAATAAGAGGCCAACAATCATTTTTTAAAAGCTGTTGATACCGCTGTGGATCTGTTTTGTATGATGCACAGTCAATATTATTCCTCTTTCATGAGGAATTATGCGCACCATCCAGCTCACTCGATTTAAACAGACGGAGTCGACAGCAACAAGTGTTTGCTCTCCAGGCTTTCTGTCTGTAGTCTCGATTTCCATTCATCCCTGAAAGAACAGGGACTGCTGCAGACTCCAAGCTGAGAAGAGAGGCAGTCACTCTCAAGTCAAATCTAAACTTGCTGAATGAGGCCAAAGGTTTTCTTCTGAGACAACAGATAACTCCCCGGCAAGCATTCGCTTACAGGCCTGCGCAAGCACACACACACACACAGTGATTCATCCTCAGATTCAGGCTCCCACATAGTGATGTGTTTTGCTTTGGCCTTCCTGTCTTTTATGACTGACAGCGGTTTTCTTCCATGTCAGAAATCCTTCTGTTCCATTCACAGGAGACACCTTGCATGGTCAGCATTTTTGAGTTGAGATCGCAGTCATAGTTGGGAGCCATCCTTGGGGATGAGATTTTTTTAGGACAAGCATCCGGACAGATTCCCCCCCCCCCCCCCCCCCCCCCCCCCCCCTCCCCCCACCCACCCCAC